AAAAAAAAAAAAAAAATAAATAAACGAACGAATAAAATGCACGTGTTCCGTGTGTGTTTTATTTTTCTAACAAAAACAAACAAACAAACAAACACACAAATTCGTAATCAAATAAATCGCGAAAATTATTTTAGAGACGTTGATATATATATATATATAAAAAAAACACGAAATAATTAAACACGATAGAAAAATAAATATAAACGTCGTAACAAATAAACAATGTTATTAAACGAGTATGAAGGAGAAACCAAAAAAAAAAGGAATAAACGAATAAATTAGAAGAAAAAAAAAAAAGAAATGAAAAAAAGGTGTATCGACCTTGATGATGCCCAAAGATAGTCGCGTCAAATGCATCCGGAATTTTTTTTCTTTCTCATTTTTTTTTTTTTTCTTTTCTTTTCTTTTCTTGTTTTTACAATAGAATTCGATGTGGTAATTGTGTGGTTAGAAATAATAATATGATTGATTGATTGATTAATTCTCACCCGTTAAATATGATCGATTACAAATGGGAAATAAATAATGGACGTTAATAATTTATGTAAGAGTATAATAATAAGTTACTATTTCCATTTGTCTATGTCTCTTATAATGTTTTCTTATTGCCATCATATATAATATCTCTTTTTTTTTTTCTACCTTTTTTCTTTTTCTTTTTCTTTTTAGTAAATTCTCTTCTACAAAGAATATATATATATATATAAAAAAAAAAAAAAAAAAAAGGAATGTCGGTGTCAGGGAAAAAAAACAAACAGTACACACAATGTTACGTTACGTCGTTCAATTGAATTAAAAGTTTTGCACAGCTGAATCCACAATTAATCGAGAATTTTTTTTAATAATCGTTATCATAGGAATTTTTTTTATTAACGCGTAGATATTTATCGTTTGAAAAAAAAAGAAAAAAAGAAACGATACGTTGTTCCCTTTTCTTTTTTTTTTCTTTTCTTTTTAATGCGATTAATATTATTATTTTATCATCTAGTATTGCCTTCTTTCTTTTTTTTTATTATTATTATTATTAATTATTATTATTATTAATTATTATTATTATTATTTTTCTAATTATTTTCTCGTCGTAAAAATTTATAATGTTATTATTTTTGAACGAACGAACGAATCTAACCTAACTTAACATTTCTAAGAATTAATAGTTAAATGTTCCTATTAGAAAAAAAAAAAATAAAAATATAAGATATGATGATTTGAATTTTTTGTTTATATAAATATATGTATTTGTGTTCGAGTAAACGAGAACCACCACCTCCCCCCCCTCCCACACACACACACAGTTAAACAATTAATTATTACCTTTGGTTTTTTTCTTTTCTCTTCTTCTACATATTTTTTTTTTTTTTTTTTTTTTT